GAGAGGACACGGCAGGGCTGGCAGCGCTACTACTTTGAGGGCATCAAACAGACCTTCGGCTATGGTGCACGCTTATTTTAGGTCCAGCAGCGGGGGCTACAGCTTGTCCAACACTGCAGTCCAGCCCTCCTGACTGAGGCTTGTGACTCACAGGATTGCACCATCCCAACCACTAACTGGGGGCCGGGGCCCCTTCCCTCCGCGTATACCGTGGGTTTGTGCATGTTTTCTGCTGGGTGGGATCAGAGGGCAATTTCTCTTTTATGTGTACATAGGCTAAATAAACGTAATTTAAAAAATGTGCATATCTGGAGCCTGTGTTGACTGGGTGGCTGGTATTAAGAGTTCCCTGAAGGTTTTGAATTTTAAAAAACCAAAGGGGTTGGAATAAGGCCTTGCCTCCGTTCTGGAGAAATGTACGTAATTAAGAGGCATGAAGGGAGCCTGCTTCTCAGCACCAAGGATTCCTGAGCTAGTCTCCTTTCATACTTGAGACTGGCAAAAAGGTTCTGTCTCCCTTACCGAGGGAAAGTAGGGGAGGATCCATGCTTTGGAATAAACGGCACCGACAAACATTACTGGTGGAGATGGTATCCTGGGCTTTCCATTCTCCATGGCCTCTTAACCTCTTGCAAGAAGAGGCGATCACCAGGTACCGTTTTTAAATGTGGAAAGAGATTCCCACGCTGTGGCAGAGGGGAGCTTTGGACCTTGGGTTAATAGCTTCTGTCCATTGAGCAGTTACTACGCTCACTATCAGGCACTACACTAACCTTTGCATCTCATTTAACCCCATTTATGTTAACCCCATAATATCCCTATGAAATACATGCACTACCATCATTTGTTTTATAGGAACTCAAGCCTTGAATTTCTTAAATAACGTTCAAGGCCCTAACAACTTATATTTAGCAGAGTTGGGATTTGGAAGAAAAACTAACTACAAAGCTAGTGCTCCAGTCTAAACCACTATGTCTACTGCCTTGCCATTGGATCCATCACCACAAAGAAGCTGCATTTCTAGTATGTTAGCCATCCCCTCTGGAGTAGGAAATTCCAAGCCTCAGTACTCCCAGAAAGAAATGACTGTCCTTGTTAAGAGTATTTTCAAATACCCGGTTTCATTAGAGTCTACAGGGCACTGAGCAATTGCTGCAGATATGCTCTAGCGGGGCTCACCCTGACACGCTGCTGGATAGGTAGCTACCTAGACAGAGTCGCTTTCCCAGATGTCCTGCCCTGGCATCCTGCACCCCCAGCTGAGTCAGTGTCTGCGAATCCAGATACTCTACCTCCTGCAGCTACAGCTATTTTCCTTCTAGTTTTGCTTGTCTTGTTAAGTGGCAGGCTGGCAGGCTAATCCTACCAAAATGACTTGGCCAAAATGTAGTTAAAGCAGAAAACGAGCACAGATCTGGATAAGTTAAACCCCCAAAAGCCACCTTTGTCTTGAATTATTCAACAAGTGCTGGATTGAACTAATTTGCATCTAACTTGACATTATATCTGCCTCCTGGGGGTCCAAAAAGATGACTTGATAAAAAGCCTGGATTTTAGCTTGAATCAAATCAACGGGCCCTTTGGACCACAGACGACTCCTCTTCATTAACAGACCAATGACAGAAAAGGGGCCATTTCACATCTGGCTGGAGAGTTACCAATTCCAGAGAACTACTTATAAGAAATTCTGAGGTAGAGTTTACAAACACTCTAATAAAAACCAAGCACCAAGCAAAATATCTGTCACATGATAGGCTCAGTAACAGGTCACACATCCCCAGTACTGTTGGCTATTCCAATTTTAACCACTGCCATTTGAGTGATAGCATTTTGGTTAGCCATCTGAACCTACAAAGCAGAATGATGTAATTAAAAGCCATGGACTTGGTTGGACTTGGGTTTGAATTGTAAATATGCCACTTCCTAACAAATGGGGCGAATTTCCTCATTTTTATAATGAGTATACCTCAGAAGAGCACTAGAGATGATGGATACAGAAGTGCTGGCACCTGGTGGCATTCAGCAGCTGATACTTGCTACTTCTGGACATGAGCCCAAGCATTTTCCCAGGAGAATTAATATTTTGAAAAACTGGTTAATTGGCCAAATTACAGATCTTAGGCCAAGGATTCTCCTCACCTAAGAACCATCTGTTAAATGCAGAAAAGTGGACCTCATTCCTAGAAACTTGCATGTTAACATCTCAGGAGATTCTGATACCAGGAATTCATTTTGAGAAGTGCATCAACATGTTAAAATCTAATTGTAATGGACGAGCCAAAGAAGCACATTTCAGTCCCTTTTATGAATAATGGGGACAAAGGATCTGAAACGTTCTGTCTTCCAAGAGACAAGGGAGGCGGCAGGACCTGGCAGGGTTTGTACTGTTGGTTGTTTTAAACCCTAGCAAGAATTCAACTTGACTACCCTTGCCTAAATTAGGACCTTTTATGAGGTAACCCAAAGCGGGGAAATTGGGCCACCTGATAATTGGGCCACCTTGGTGGCTGGAGCAGCTAACTTGGAAACAGGTGGTGGTGGTACTTAATGCATGGCCATGGGTGGCTCCTGGTATTTAGGACAGGAAGAACAGCTAATCATGACTAACACTGGACCAGAAAGGGAGGAGGAGCCCTCTGATATCACAGGCCCCTAACAGCTCTGATACTTGCTCGCCAGCTTCTAAAATCCTCCCTTTCACAGTTTCTCCTCACGCAGAGAAGTTCCCTAAGCCTGCAGCCACCTGCAGCGTCTCTCCTTCATAGAGTTTGAATAAACACCATTTTATAACTACTCCCCAACCACTTCAAGGCTCCGTTCAGCCCTTTTTCTTTAGTTTTTCTCATCTGTAGCCTGACATGGTAGCAATTTAGCATGTCACTAAGACTAAAGATTGAAAATGGGACTGGCTAAATTCAGTTTGCATAATAGTCAACTATTAGGTATAGCTTATATTTAGACAGCATGTTTAAGTGTCAAGGTAAATTATACTAGACAGGAGAATTCACAGTTTCCTGTGAAAATAGACTCTGGGATTTTTTAAGTTCTGCCGAAAAATAATTAAAACATGCCCATGCTAATTATGTTGAATTTTCCAGATGAGAGGGAGTAAACTTGGCTTCCTTCTGGGGACCTGAGATCTTGCCCCCTCTGACCCTTTGATTATTCTGGACTGTGGTCCGGGACAAGACTAATAAACTTACCTCTAGATGTGAAGCTAAACAGAAACGTGGCTCTCCGGGCTTCTCCGAGTGGCCACGCCTTGTCTCATTCTACTTTCTTACGTGTTTTCTTCCTTCTCTAAATGCCAGAAGTGATTGTGGAGTGTCTGGTAAGGGTAGCAACTAAAGCAGGGTACAGGCCCATCTCTGTCATCGTTTGGTACAGTCCCTTTGGGCAACTCTGCATTGGATCCCCTTGCAGCAAGTTACCTGGGGAAGTGGGGCCACTTCCTCTGGAGTGAATGCAATTTATCTCTTTGACCAAAAACTTACGAGTGAATGTACTTCAGAGGTCCAGTGAGCTCCTGCCTTCCAGGCAGCCCTTTAAATGCCCAGCCGGGTTAGGCATTCACGAACACAACCTGTGGGAGCCGGGAGCTCTGCTTGGTCTGTAAGCAAAAGCTCCTGACCCTCCCCTGCTCTACTTTACCAGACAGAACTGGAAAATAAAGTGCTTTATTGCAAGGATCCCAGAGAGCTTCAGGGCAGTGGTCTAGGGGCCAGGACTAAGTCCCCTACCTTGTGGAGGCTTTTGTGGACTTCAGTGGTTCAACCCCACAGCAGGCCAGGAAGTGTGGTTTGAGGGTTGAGGGGAGGCAGGAAGAGGCACGAGGTGGGCAGGGACAGCTGATTATGTGCATCTCTTTCCCACTCTGAGCTCAGTGCGTTCAGTGCATCACCATGGGAGCCTGAAATGGGCCATGGTAGGAGTTCTTACACCACAGAAATTATCCAAACGCTACAAACCAGGGCTTCTCCCATCTCCCCCTTCCCATAGAACCAGTTTACCAGCACATTGCAGGAGCACAACACATCCTCCTGAGCTGATCCTGAGCCCTTCCCCAAGCCTGGCTGCTGCGACAAGCTGCCACTTCCCTATCTCCCAGCTTTGTACATTTCTACAACCTGGACAGAACAGAGGTAGGCTGGACAAAGAAAGGGACCTGAACTGGGTGATCCTTTCCCCACGTGGAGCCTGCCTTGTCTCGGCAGCCTCAGCCTGTCTGTCCACTGAAGGCCTTCAGCCCTAGATGCGGCAGTGTCTACTGAAAGGCAGCTTGGAGCTGAAGATAGCCCTCCTGCTCAGTGGCTCTCAGCAGGCAGTGGGGCAGGGTGACCAGGTGCAACCACTCAGAGATAAGGAGGGCTGGTCACCCAAGGCTAACAGCCTGAAGAAGGGCACCTGCAGGGTGGCTGAGACAAAGGACTAGCCCTCAGGGCTGGGGGTCTGAGTGAGTCATCACAGGTCCGGGGGGAAGGGAAGAGAGAGAGAGAGAGAGAGAGAGAGA